AAAGTCATGGACAGGTCACGGGCTGTGAATTTTTGTTTACTGCCCGTGACCTGTCCATGACTTTTACTAAAAATACTCATGACTAAAACATCGTCTTAAGGATAGGTCCATCAATGACTATTAGCCGGGATGGGCAGGGATGGTGTCCCTAGCCTTTGTTTGCCAGAAGCTGGGAATGCGCAACTGGGGATGGATCACTTGATGATTACCTGTTCTGTTCATTCCCTCTGAAGCACCTGGCATTGGCCACTGTTGGAAGACAGTTTACTGGGCTAGGTGGACCTTGGGTCTGACCCAGTATGGCCATTCTTACGTTCTTATGAAATTTCTACAGCTCAGACACAGAGATTCTCCTGCTACCAAAGGTGAGTGAATATAGCTTGGGTCACAAGCAAAAATGAATTTGCTCATACTGTTCCCTTTCTCATTGATGCACATTGCACAACTACGATTCTACTTATATAACTGTAAGTATCCAGCCTTGCAACACAAGGGGTATAATGGATTAGGAGTGATGTGCCGATAACTTGCACAGTGCCTGTCTATACTATGGCTGGCTTATTCCCATGCTGTTCATACCTCACCTTCATGATCATTTCAGTGTATACTGATTTTAAATATTAGACAGGTCATATGTACATTACAGAAACATTGATGCCTAGATATTTGATTTAGCACTTTGAGGGCCTTATACAGAAAGACCTCTAAATTATCACAAAACTCAGAATCTTGAAGTTTGATTGCATATTTCATTCCTCACAATAATAATGCTCTGTACTATGAGATTGGGCACTTGGGATCAATTCCCAATCTGTTTTCCCATTCAAATGTGCAGTAAGCACTGTGGAAGCCAACCCATTTGTGAAGATTTGGGGTGGAAAAGTAGTCAATAAGATAGTTATATTGACTTTCTTCCTATTGGAATTGACTGTGTAAAATTCCTTACAATAATTTTATAGAGACTTATAAAGTTGGAAAAGATTTTGAAAAATCTGTGGACTATAAGCATACAGTACTGTAAGTGTATCGAAATCATCAAAAACTTCACTGTAAACACAGCAACAATATAATCTTCCAGTTCCCCCATGCTTCAGTTTACAAGACAAATAAGCTAAAGTGTTAATGCTTGTCAGCTAACCTCTCGTACACTTATCAAAGTCAATACTGTATACACTTTTCCACTTTGAAAAACTACAGACTTGTATGCATGAGTTTGTACTGCTGTGCACATTAGTTCAGTTAGTTCATGAGTTTTCAGCCTAATTTTATCAGTTCTATAACCTCCTATCCTTTTCACCCATCCCTGCTAGACTATCAAGATAGCAATGACTTTAATAAAAAAAAATTACATTTTTAATGGATGCTCTGCCAAAAGGAAAATGGGATGTCTAAAAGATGCTCTGCTCCAAGTTCTATATAAATTTGGTAAAATCCCAGCTTCCAGATCTCACTAACTTTCAAGTATCTCTGGGGGCTAAAGTATCACATATACTCTCATAGACTGGATTAAATCCTACACTTTCTGGGTTCAACAGGCTGATTTTTATAACTGCTAGTATGTTTGTAAAATTCCAAAGCACATTTCTCTAATTTTATTTTCGATAGGTTGATAATTTTCTTTAACTACCGACAAATTTATAAATACAAAGAATGAAAGGATTTGAACAAATTTGACTGCCGTGTAGCACAGTTAAAAAGCAGCTTCAGTTGGACATTTTGTTGGAACTGCTATACAGTACTTTTGGTTTTAGCCTTTTTGTCTTTTCTAGAAGATCAATCCACCTCTTATTAATCAGTCAATCTCAATACTTTCTATAATTTATTGACTTAAACTAGTGTAAAGTAATGAAGATCTTGCTTATGTACTTCATCTGTTAGAGTTTATTTGGGTTTTCTCATGCCATGTAATCTAGCTTGTAGTCTAGAGTATGCTAAACCTGGTTCATTGTCGGAATTATTGGTATCAGTATTTGAACATTACTGAGAGTACAACAAAACTTTTCTTATAGATAATTCTGTGTATCAAGCACATGTACTGATAAACCTTAAGTATGGCTTCTGTGTTAAGTATCAGAAGCACCCTTTGAAACTTTCTGTTGGAAATGAAACGAATACCTCAGTGAAGTTTGTGGATCAGTAAACATTGTTCAGTAAATGTTTTCTTCAGTACTAACAGTAAAGTGTTAATGCTTGTCTTATCTCACCAAAAACTTAAAAAAACACAATTGTTTGTTACTTAGTATTGTAGTGACAAATCCATATGCCCTACTTAGGCCCTGTCTACACTGGCAAGTTTCTGCCCAGTAAAGCAGCTTCTTCTTCAAGTGATTGCTCATGTGCATTCCACAATAGGTGTGTGTGCTCGCCACGTGCACTGGTGCCGGAAGTTTTTCCCTTAGCAGTACCCGTAGGGGAGCGCTCCTAGCAACCCCTGGAGTGGCGCCTCTATGGCGCAGTATAAGGGGTGCTGCGTGCTCCCCACACCCTCAGTTCCTTCTTGCCGCCAGTGAAGGTGTATCGGAACTGCTCTGCTCCAGCTTGGCTGTAGCTTTCCTCTTGAACTCTTGTTCATTCATAGTAGTACCTGTAGTTAAAGTAGTTTAGATTAGTGTTAGTTCCGTTTAGTGTGCCCGGGTAGGGGCATACCCCGGGCTTTAAGTCGTGCAACACTTGCAGGTGGCTGATGCCAGTGAGTAATCTGCACACGGACTTTTTACACTGGGGGAAACCCATCTCGGTGAGCGCTGCAGGATTTGAAGATCCTTCAAGCCTCGGACCTAGAAGAAAAGGGATATTCGGCTTCGAGACATTCTGATGGAGTCCTAGTTGGGAGTGGACCCCATCTAGACCGGGATAGATGGCACCAGAGTTCCTTATCTCCGAGAGGCTACCATAGCCCATCCCATTATGGGCATCAATGCCGTTTCCATTCTTCATCTCGCTCCAAGACCCCACCATGGCACCACTCCCATAGTCCCAGGCTTCGATCGCCGGCACCTCACCGTCGCGCATCCGTCCGTCGGAGCTGATCGCGGAACAGCTGCTACCAGCGGTATTCCCGCTCCTCCATGCCTGGATCACGATCTCGTGGTCAACACCGTTCCCGATGACGCTGCCACTCCCGGTCCCAGGACAGCGGCAGGTCATACGCCAGCCTGGCCTCCTTTTGTAGTCATCAGTCGATGGGACAGGCTAGTCAGGCTGACCAGCCTGCTCCACCAGTGTCACAGCTGGTGTCACA